GGGCGTTGGACTTCCCAGTGCTCGATGCACTAGGTTATTGGGCTCCCCTATAACGCCGGAGCACCACTTATTGGTGCAGGAGCGCCCAATCCTCCAGACTGGGGCGCTGGGGTGTTTTTATAGGCACCGGGGCACTCCCTAAGGGGCGTTGGAATGCTGGAATGCTGGAATGCCCACAACAATTAAACTCCACGCACCATAACAATCTCCCACTTGAAGATTGCACCCAATTCCTCTTCTTCAGATCTGCACTTCCATATATGTACCATCTTCATAGTCTTGTAGTATGACTCACCTTTGATTTCAACTTTCCTAGACTCCCATTTAAGATAAGCATAGCTTCAATTTCTAAACCCTAAATGCTCATCCTCTCAAAGAGAACGAATAAAATGCCACCTTAGCTGAATATTTTTTGCCCTGACATGAAAATCGACATTCTTAGCTGGACGAATAACGCTTATGTTGAATAACGCTCATACTGTCATTATTAAGCTTTCTAATTCCTTTATCCTTGCCCAATTCTGCCATAAATTTCTACAGGCAAATCATCTCCTTGCTAGCCTTAGTCATGATAATATATTTAGTTATAGTAGTTGAAAGTGCAACTTTTGTAGCCTAGAAACCCAACCCACTGTTGTGTTCCCCAAAGTGAAGATATGTCATGTTGTACTTCTTCTATAATTTATATCACTGGATTGATCTGAATCTACATATGCTTATAAATCAATCCCCGCACTTCCAAAGCAAAATGCATTGTTAATTATTCCCCTCAAATATTTGAGAATTTACTTCATCGCCCCCAATGACGCTTGCCCGGATTGTCCATATCTTGTCGGCCACTCTCACTGCATGTGCAATATATTGTCTCATACATATATCATAACATACATCAGAATTCCAACCATTGAAACATTCAAAGATTTTCCCATCTTTGCTAGCTTTGCTTCAGACTAAAACAATAGTTCTTTAACTAGTTTGAAGTGACTACTCAAGAGGTGTGCACTGATTTTGCCTCAGTCATGTTAAAATCTTGTAGTACCTTCGCAAGATGCTTTGCCTGAGCACTATATCTGTGCTCCTGTTCCTGACGATTCTCATAGTGAAGATCTTCTCATAGCAAATTTTTTTTTGATAACTGCTTCTCCAGGTCCCTGATTTTTTTATATTTGCTCTTGCAATCAACATGTCATTCACACACAAAAGAAATAAAATATAATAATTATCAAAATTTCTGATGAAGTACAGTGGTCTGTCTGACGCTTCATGTACTAACTGTCTGACATGAATCTGTCAAATCTCCCATACCACTGCCTTGGGATATGCTTTAGACCATAAATACTCTTCTTCAACCTGCAGACCAATTTTTTTCCCGGAATCTCATAATCCTGCGGTTGCACCTTATACAATTCCTCTTCCAGATCAACATATAAGAAGACTGTCTTTACATTCATTTGCTTTAGATGTAATTATCAAGCTCAACACAACTCTGATGGTTGTCAGGAAAAATATCTCAGAATAGTCTACTCATTCCTTATGTTGAAACTCTTCACAATAAGTCTTGCCTTGTAGTGCCTGCAACCATTTGACACTTTTCAACCTGTAGACTTATTTGTTGTACAATTCTCTTTATATGGTAATTTCGTCAAATCCCAAGTTTGATTTGACCTCAATGACAGCATCTCGTCATTCATGACAAACTCTCACTCCTTTCATTCATGACAAACTCTCACTCCTTTAAATCTTCAACTTGAGTGGTCTATTCATAGCACTCTGATCTACCATTGTTAGTTAGCAAATAATAGTACAAAATAAGATAATACCTCTTTGTTAGACTCTTGATTCTCCCTGAACTATTGACTTCAATAACAGATATTTGGGCAACTTCTTATGCTTCATCAAATTGAGCAAATTCTTTCTTCATTTTCGTGATCACCATTATCTTCTATCTCAACATATTTGGAACATATTTGGACGACTCTTTGGAAGTTGCAAATGAACAATCCTAAATTATGTTCTTATTCTTATACATCTCAATTTCATTGAATATCACATTTCTGCTCCTTATAACTTCTGATTCTGGTAATTCTATAATTAGTAGCAAATTCTTATGAATCATATCTCATGAAAGTGCACTGGACAGATTTTGAGTTAAGATTACTCCTGGATTTTGCATCAACATGAACATATGCTGAAAAATCAAATTCTTTCAGGTGAGATAAATTTACCTCCTTTTCACTCTAAGCTTCCTCAGATAAACCTTCATTCAAAAGTACTGAAGGACAATGATTTATCCGATAAACTACAGTGTTCACAACTTCTGTCCAAAATTATTTTGGCAAGTCTATATGCAACCTTATACTTCTTACACACTTTATGATGATTTTATTCATGCGCTTAGCCACACTTTTATGTTGTGGTATCCTTGGAACAGTGAACTTGTTTGTTCCCTTCTACAGCCTAATAACTCCTAAACCTCAGATCACCATTACCTCTTAGTCATCTTCCACGAATCACTTGTGAAAGTAGTCACACAACCTGATCTTGTAAGCTTACTCAAAGAGATTAAATTTCACATCAAACTCAGAATATGTCTAACTCCACTTAGTTTCCAGACTATTCTATTTGAAAGCTTGATATCAACATCATCATTTTCTACAATACTACAAATATTATTATCTCCCAAATACACCTTCACTACATCACTCTGAGTGTAGTTTTTAAACACTTCTTTGTTGAGACAAACATGAAAAGTGACTTCTAGTTGTATTATCCAAGATTTAGTGCTGACTAAAGATAATATAAACGAGTCATCTTAGATTTCACTTGTGGAGACATTTGTAGAGATTTTTGTATTATCCTCCACCATCAACCTTTATTGGAGTTTTATAGTCTTTTTTTAAATGACATTACTTCATGCAGTTTCTAGCATTCTTCTCTATCATTTCGTCTTCTTGATCTAGACTTTTTTCTAGACTTGAATCTGTCTCTGTCTGTATTCCTATCCAGATTCCTGAATTTGAAGATTTACTGCTCGCCTTCTTGTAAACTTCTTTGTGCAGCAGCCATCTCATGATGCTATCAAAGTTTAACTTTTAAATTACCTGAAGAGTTACTCACCATCGTGATCAGTCCATCTCAGCCGTCTGACAATGAAGATAGAATTAATAGTGCGCTGACCTCGTCATCAATATTGAAATTATTCAAGTATTCAACCACCAAACTACCATCAATTATTTTCATATGGAATAATTTATTTATTGAAAAAACTTTATTTGACGCTGAAGGTTTTTCATATATTCTTGTCAATGCCTCCGTGGGATCCACAATAATTTTATCATTCAATATGTTAAAAGCAACAGATGAAGAAAATGAAAGATGGATCAGACATTGAGCTATTCAATCAAGAACTTCCCATTTTTCCAGAGTCATCAATTCAAGTTTCTTGGTGATTATTTCCAACGGTAGATATAATTTCTTTTGATTCAACTAATCTTCAATTTGTAGTTTCCAGAACACAAAGTTCAAACCGTTGAACTTCTCCACCTTGTACCTCGCTTCATCGGTCATTGCTCCTACTTGAACCAAATGCTCCAAAACAAATACTCCAATGCTCCTAAACAAGCACACCTCACGGAACTCCCTCCACAAACAAGCAAATCTCTATAATAATGCTCAAGAACAAATCAAATTCTCTGTAAACCCTAAACAAATCAAAAACCCATTTTCGCAGGAAGAAAGCTAAAATTGCATGGAGAAAGCGAAATTATCATAGGAATAACTACTACACACTGTAGAAGGGAGGAAGAGGAAGGCGAGAGCAACAGGAGATTACCGAGAGCGAGCGAGAGAGGTCGAGGGAGGTGAGAGGGAGAGAGGCGAGAGCGAGGTAGATCCTCCTTAGGGCTCGCGTCAAGGGCAGTGGGGTAAAAGCGAGAACTCAACTCACATCATGGTGTCAATCTAGCGGCACCGTCTATTAAACAATCGAAACCTGCGTTTAGATAAAAGTTGCCCAAATGTGTTAACCAAACAGGATGGCGGCATTTTAAAAACACCGCTCCGCAATTTTAATCCTCGCCAAACGGGCAGTAAATCTGGATTTACAGGATTTTGCTAAATTCTTCAGTTGTCATACAAGCCCTAAATAACCCAACACATAACCCTTGAACAAATGCCCCAACAAATAGTCGTTATTTGTATGCATTCATATGAATTTAACGTGTGATTTCAAGTCTAAATCAATTTTATATTTTGACTAAGAGATGTCCTAAATAATAACTTTATAAAAAAAATTTAACTTCCCATAAAAAAGTCATTTATTCTAAAACCGCCTATATAAATTCATAGAATTTTAACCAGAAGATTTTAAATCTAAATCAATTTTGCATTTTGACTTTGAGCTATCTAAAATAAGAAATTTTGTAACAAAATTGTTTAACCTGATTTTATCGAAAAATAAAAGAATAATTTGCTTTTGTTCTAGAACTACCATATAAATTTTACGCGTGACAAAATTAGACTCAAAGTCCTAGCACATGCTAGCGAGGCAGAATTGGAGGACTGAAGATAGATTGTAGAAATTCATTGATATTTTGAATCTTTAATTTCCTTTTATTAAGCACATAGCCTTGGGCTTGCCTTGGTCTGATTGCTGTGGGCTTGGGACTCTCCTTCATTCAGTTGTTGTGTACCCATGCCCTAAGATTTCTTTCTGACACAAAATTTATGGGCATCCTGCCTTAGTGTTAGAAAATATAAACAACTGTTCCATTTTCTAGTTATTATTTTTTTTTAATTTTATTTTATGAATATTTATTATATCTTGGCGGTAAATGTTAGAATGCATTGACAAAAAATGTTTATTCTGAATTTCAACCGTTTCTCTTATTTATGTAAAGTCCTGTGACTTGGATGGGACACACCTGATTTCCTTCTAGACTTAATTTATTAAGCTGCAGCTTATGAGGTAAGATTTGCTTAGTAAATTTCACACGCTAACCTTTTGCCAAGGGACGGGATTCTTTTCACAGAATCAGTAGTTGAAGTTCCTACTACTACTGTAATTCTATTTTCCATAGTAGGTTATGGTACAAAGTATGTTAAGTACTGTATGGGAGCATCCATTATAAACAGCTATTTTGCATTGAAGAACGATTTGATATTGAAAAATCCATTACTAGTTCAATAATGCCTTTGGTATGATGCACGTTTGGATAAGGTGGTGTACAATGACTGCAGAATCCAAAATTTTTTTCTTGTTACCTAAACTGTTAAAAATTCTAAATCAACTTTGGCATAAGACATATCCATTTAGGTTGGTTTACTAGTCAATATTTATATCATTATAGTTTCTTTAACAATAAAAGTATTGAGCATGCAATGTTTTCTAGGTATGTGAAATTTACTGATTGTTATTGCTTATGAGTAGGTGATGGTGGAAAGTTTTCAGTTGGTTTTGACATCAATGTTTTCACTGAAGTTCACAAGACTGGTAAGTGAGTTATGTTTAGCCGAAGCTTTCAGTCCTACCGATTTCTTTTTATTCTTCATATATATTTTTTACTTGGCAGGGGATGTGTCTATTTTGCCTGATGAATCAATTGATTTGCTTGTTAACACTATTGAAGGTCTTGACTCTTCTACTTGTAATTATCTCGATCATGTTCTGTAATCATTTAAACTTTTCTAATCATATGTGTTGTTGTGTATTGCCATCTTCAGATGCTAAAAAGCCTTCTGTTGCGGCCATTCAAGGACTTGCACTTGGAGGTGGTTTGGAGTTGACAATGGTTTGATTCTTGAGCTTTATTTTTTTAATATCATTTTCCATGTCCTATTTTGTTTATGGTGTGCCTTTGGTTTAGAGTTGTCATGCTCGAATATCCACTCCAGATGCTCGGTTTGGATTGCCGGAGCTGACTCTTGGTATTATTCCTGGCTTTGGAGGTAGTGATGATGCTTATTGGTCGCAAACTGAGCTTCAGAAACTTTAATGCTATTTGATCCAATATCTTGCAAACATTCTTACTTCTGATATCTCAATTCTTTGAAGGCACCCAGCGTCTTCCTAGGCTTGTGGGGCTGTCGAAGGCTATAGAAATGATGTTGGTAAGTGAACTTTGGCACTTAATAGTTTAGTAGTTCTGCACACACCTGTCCCTATTTTACCTTCAAAAAATTAAAATAAAATGTGAAAAATCATGGGGGAATTGTTATGGCATGAAAAATGATGTCATGGTTAAATTCTCTAATTAAAGTAACGCAATCATTTATTTTAATTTTCACTTTGAACTTCAAATGCTCGGCAGTTTGGCTAATTCCTGATGCTAGTTATACACAAATACCTATCTTTGTTCTCATTTTTTCCTTTTCTTTTGTAACAACATTATGCAGCTATCGAAGTCCATAAGTGCTGAAGAAGGAATGAAGTATGGCCTTATTGATGCTATCACTTCTCCTGAGAATTTGTTGAACGTTTCAAGACGTTGGGCATTAGAAATTGCTGAAAGGAGCAAACCTTGGATTAACTCACTTAAGCGGACCGATAAACTTGCCTCTCTTTCTGAAGCACGTGAGATGCTGTATTCTTCTCGACAACAGGCTAAGAAGACCGCTCCAAACATGCCACAGAATCAAGTCTGCCTCGATGCAATTGAGGAGGGCATAATTTTTGGGGGATATGCAGGTGTCTTGAAAGTAAGTGCGTTTACTTTCACATCAATTTACTTTGCTTGTCATTGGGAGTTCGTATTTTTGTTAACTCCTGCATTAATTTACACTATGTCACATCCTAAGGTACTATGATTGTCATCCTTCAGCTGAAAGACTCGAGCAGTAGAATGATTGATTTTGTGCATTTCTTGCTATTAGTTTCTATAATTTGTTCCTGAGTTCCATAATATATCAAAAGGTCTGTAAGTTAATTCCTAGGTTTTAATGGATAGAATATTAGACTTGGACCACTTCAACTTCTTTGTACCATACGTGCCATTTTGTGTCGACAGAAGTTTCATGTCTCGGGTGCCATGTATTGATTTCACTTGTTTTCCACAACTTTATTAATGTACTAATTAAATTTACTGCCCTTAGGAGGCGAGACTTTTTAAGGAGATAATATTGACAACAACTTCAAGAAGTCTTATCCATGCCTTTTTCGCGGAACGTGCAACTTCCAAGGTACATATTTTTGTCTTTTTCATTCTGATACACACGATTATTGTTGACATACGATTTTATACCTTATTGCTATGCGGCAGTTTTCTCAGTGCTAAGTGAAATTTTCAGAAACCTTTTTGATTTGAGATCCAAACTAATTTTTATCATTGCCAGTCAATCTTTGAACAAAGTTTCTCAACATATAGCAATCTGAATTGATGTTACATTTGATAGTAACAAGAATTCATTATTCATATTGGGGCTCCTGCAAAAATTTAACTTTATTTTTGTCACATTTTAGTCCAAATACTCATTTTAGTTTTATTGTTCTTGGAGTTTGTTCACCAAAAATTTGGGCGGACGCCTAGCATCACCCTAATACAAGGCATCTATAGGAAGTGTTGGTTCTTCCTGCCACACCCAAAAGGGCACGTATGGTCTGTTTAGTGAGATACCATGATTATTACAATCACAATTGCTAAGAAATGCACGCATGAGTACATGAAAATTTATTTGAACACAATTTCTTCATCGTATTAAGAAAAGTGTGCTTGAGTGTATTTTTTAATGATTTTCATCATTTTCTTTTGCCTGTGTTTATTTCAATTATTCAGCTCAAGTCATATTAGTGTTCATTTTGGAAACCTCTCAACATCTCCCCTACATAGAAAACATCTACAGCGAGTGCTAAGCCTACCTTTATATGAAAAATGGTGCTCATGATGACCTTAATATTCAAACCCACCACGCCAAAAAAAGGATATACATGCGATTGGATTGTTGATAAAAAAAAAAAAAAAAAAAAAAATTATCATTAGAAGTTATTAGTGTTATTCGGGGACATTCAGTGGTGCAAAAAACCTACAGTCATCTGGCAGCAGAGCTTTATTGGCTGGGGATGCGCAGAGACGGGGAGGACATGGTGGAAAAATGTGATGTGTGTCAGCGGCACAAGTACTTGACCACTACACCAGGGGAATACTACAACCAATAGAAGTGACGATGGAGTTTATCGAGGGATTGCCACGGTCATAAGAGTTCACGGTAATTATGGTGGTCGTGGATCGCTTAAATATGCATATTTCATTCCCTTACGACATCCCTACACTGCGATCTTAGTTGCAGCGGTGTTTAGCCAGAAAGTGGTCAGTTTGTACTGAGTGTCGGAATCAACTATATCGGACAGGGACAAGGTGTTCCTCAGCCATTTATGGAAGTAGCTATTTAGGTTGTAAAGGGTTGTCATTAAAAGGAGCACCGACTATCATCCCTAGACCGATGGGCAGATGGACGTGGTCAACAGGAGTGTGGAGACATACATGTGTTGTTTTGTATCTGATACATCGAAGTTATGGGCTAAGTGGATTGCATGGGCCGACTATTGGTATAATACTTTGCACCACACTGCAGCACAAACAAGCCTTTTCAAGATAATGTAAGGGCAGGATTCGCCTTACTTGATACATTATGGGCATAGCACTACACCACCTATATATCCAACGTTGATCAGTACTTGGAGGAGAAGGACAGGATACTAGCGGAGCTCAAGGGGCGTCTTCTGAAGGCTCAACAAATCATAAAGAGGAAAGCGGATGAACACAGGAGAGAGACGCAATTCGAACTAGGGTACATGGTCTACTTGAAGAAGAGACCCTACCAACAGAAAACATTGGTTAGAAGGAGCGAGAAAGTTTCACCGAGATACTTTGAACCTTATGAGGTGATGACATGCATCGGAGCAGTGACCT